CAGTGGTGCATACGCAGTTTGTACATGCAAAAACTGGGTCGTGTAGAGTACAGTACAGTACACTTTCTCCCTCTATGATATGTGGCGAAGCCCACGCTACTCAGGCATCCTCATGTTATTCGTCCTCTGCTTCCACATCGCTGACATCGCCATCGTCGACACCAACGTCGAAGGAGACAGGATAGCAACACCAGAAATAGTAGAGTTTTTGCGAATCAGCACGCACTGAGGGATCCAGAAGCACTTCGGAGTTGAAGGAACTGTGGGCGATGTAGTACATACAAAGGAGCACCGACAAATAGACAGGAAATTCCCATGAGTCATTGAGAACTGCGACGCCCCGCGCTGTCAAACCCTGAAGAGTAAGACATGCCAATATTGAGCCCGCTAGCACAATGTGCCCCAAAGCACCAGAGCAAACACGGAATTGTTGCAAACAATGCATGCGCTGCATGTAGCGCAGGCAAAGTTCCGCTCGACGCCGCCTGAAAAGAGCGACACAGTGCTCCTTCTGAATGCTGTACTGCTCTCCAAGCACGCCGATGAATATGTTGAGAATGAAAACCGAGAAGAAAGTCACAGACATATAAAGGAGCCCCACATCAAGCATGTCTCCTTCAGGCTCATCAGGCATGCCCGCCGTAATCAGAGTAATGAAGCTAGAGTAGATGGATTTGTCTAGAGAGTCAGCGCCGAGGAAGAAGAAGGCATGGCTGAAAGCCCCAAAGGCAATGCCGGTAATGACCAGCGCTGGAATAAGCCCGCGGAGAAGATTCCTGAACGGCTCTAGCTCATGCCCCAAAGCCTCGCGAAGGCTGGCAATGCCTAGCACTCGGGACCAGTACACAAAAATGGCGAACACAGTCACCGGTCTACTTTCAGGGTCGATCCACAGGTACGCGGGCAAGATGGCCGAAAGGAGGTCCACCAAATTGTCAAACTGCAGGTAATCCCGAGGACGGCCCATTTTGAACAAACCGAAGACCTGCATGAATTCCAACATGATATCAGCGAATCCCTGGGCGGCAACAAATTGAACAGCGACCAACACGACTGTAGGCTTCGACTCAGACTGCTGCAGACTCTGCGTTGAGCTTCTCAAGGCCCAAGTAGAAAGGCTCAGCAAGGCCACGATCCACACGTTGACAAAGGAGCGCACAATCTCTACCTTCGCAACGAAATTCTCAAAGACATGCTCCACCATGGCCCCAAAGACGCGGTGCTCAAGTATCTTGACGTCAATGCCAGCCGATGCCAAACACGTAAAGACATCCGGAGTGACCAGGTCAGGTATGATGCACACGGCGGTATCTGCCTGCAAAATCTCTCCAAAAGCTCTGTTTGTCAAGGTGATATGCCATTCTGGACAATGGAATTGGACTGAATCGAACTTCCAATGTTTGTCCGGGTTCAGGAATGTGAGAAGGGTCCGTTGGGATGACCCTTGATTCACAGTGTTCCAGGCAAAATCCCACATGTTTCGGGCGGCAAAGCTGACTTGTGTGGGTAAAGGGTGCCAACCTTCATTTTCAATAGCTGGGGGTCTTGTTGCAGCATCGAGGAGCACAAGGACTGAGCTCACAGACTGCCTTGCCAGTTGAGCCACATCAAGCCCAGTGACGTTTGCAGCATGCAGTATCTCTTCCACCCGACCATGCTTGTTGCATCGGTTGAGGAACAGGCCCAGTGCATCGGGACGTCCCCTCATGAGTATGCGGAGTGACTGTGGATGCAGAGCCGCACTTGTCACGATCGCCCGCACCGTCATTTTGCCGCCCAAAACTCCCAATTCCAGTGGAGGGGTTATATTCCGGGATATATTTTGTTCAGGAAGAGTCCAACGTTCTTGAAATTCATCTGAGGCTTGGCCTAAAATCTTCATGTGACGTCTTAGGATACGAATCAGTGGAACATTGCCAGTTTGAAAGGCGATGTGGATTGGCAGCTTACCATCCATATTCCTCCCAGCATCAGCCCTCGCAGCGAGGAGGCACTCTATCATCTCGGTGGTACCTCCTCTTCCTTCTGCAAAAATAGCCGCATGAAGGGCGTTGTAATGTGGCTTGTGATCTCGGGTGACCATTGCGTCCGGGGATGCCCTGGCAGCCAGGAGAACCTGGATCGCAGCAGTAAACCCCCTGGAGGCTGCCAAATGCACAGCCTCACCGCTCCCCTCCATCTTTTGCCCGAAAAATTCTGTGTCATACACGAAACGCAGGCTGCATGACTGTGGCTCTTTGGCCAGCACCCGCTGGAGGTGTGGCACATCCCCCTCCAATGCGGCTTGATGTATCGGATGGCCCCTGCAAGTCCTCGAATTCCAAACAAACTTCACCGTCTCCAAAAGATATTCTTGTACAGGAGCTGGGTCGTCACGGCGTATCAACGGCTCGGCTTCTTTGGCCATGGCAGCGCACGGATGTAAATTATTTTGAATTTCCACCAGAAATCTTAAGGACCAGGGCTTTCGAATTAGCTTATGGTGGAGTCACAGCCAAATCCGAGATCGCCACCGAGGCCCCATCCGGGCTTCAGGGCTTTGATACCTGCTACGAGAATGTTCACCTTACTATGCCATTACTACTTAACGGATCATGGGACTTAGTAACTAGGGTTATAACTAGGGTAACTATACCTATAACTACTGATAACCCCAATTAAGGTACTCATAACCCTGCTTACTAAGTCCCATGATCCTCCAAGCATGCTGCATGTTCGTCTAGAGGATAGCAGCCGGCCAGGAAGTCTAACGGCTGAATCGAAGGCAACAAAAGGCAAAGCAGACGTGCGAATGCCCCGCACAAAGACACGAGAGACCCTCTTCCAGAACCTGAGGACATCATACTCTTTAAATCTATAGAGCAAGACAGCAAAAATTGAAAGCACCCAAAAAGTTTCAGGATGGTTGAAGCTAGGGGGGATTGTGATTGTGGTGTAACATGGTGTAACCTACCCCAACCATCTATCCAAACTCGAGATACGAACTAAGCTGCTCTCGAAAATTCAGGAACCGTCTCAGAGCTACCATGAGCTACCACATGCAGGGCATCGGTACCAACATGGAAACGCGCTCCGTGCCCCGAAGTTCGCTATGCCCGAGGCTGGTGGAAAAGTAGACGTAGTAGGCCTCAACCAGCCTGCCGTGAGAAGAGTACGACTTTGAGGGATTCAGGGGCGGGGCCGAGGGGGGGCTGTTTCAGGGGGTGTTCTAAGCGGTTTTTTAAATGTGGTTTGGGGGCGTTTCGTTCCATAGGCTCAGGAGTCCTGCTCGCAAAGTGCCATAAAGCCTCGCACGGCCTATCGCTTCAGTATGTCACCAGCGTCCAAAAAAGGGCAACCTTGGTTGTTCAGATACTATCGAAGCTGGCGACTTTACAGATTAAGAAACACATTTGTTTAGTTTGCAGGCCTTGGAAATTTTTGTTGGGCGCTGGAATATTGGCTCGCTCTGCTTCTGGAGCCTGGCCAACATGAGCCACTTAACGTCCAGGATTGCAGCAGTGCCGTCCAGCATTTTCCAATCACAGCCCAAAGGCAAGAATCATCTCAACACGTCGCAATGGATTTCATCTGCGTCTCGACATTGCCCCCTTCCTGCTCAGCTATCTGCCATCCGGACTGCCTGAAATTTAGAAGGGTCCGGTAAACATCTAAAGCTGTTTTGCTTGCGATGGTTGGGGTAGTTTAGGGGAGCGGCAAGGGCTGTGGAGGCATCCAAAGCCCCCGAAGAACGAATCCCAGCACACGGCTTTCTGCACGGAAGCATCATTCCTCTAGGCCTGACACCCTGGATGCGAGTGGCTCTCACAAAGGGAACCACACGCCCTTTGCCCAATTTTCGCCTTAAGCTGGACAAGCCCGAATTAAGCTTGCTGACCTCTTAAAGTCCCAACTCGAACGTTAGTTTCATGGGGATACGTCAGCGGGTCCAGTCACGGGCTGAGCTGTGCCTCCAGGGTGCCAAGGTCCCGCCAACGTGACCGGCGTCCAAGTCCAGATCTGTGAAGTTTACGTTGGACTCCTGAGAGTCTTCTCTGGGGTCTTCGGGTTCAAGGCCTTGTAAGGTTCATACTTAAAGCCGCCCGGCGGCGGGTTGCAATATACATGTAACGAACGAGTGAACTGTCCGCGGGCCGCAAGCATTCGTGCTCATTATGCATTAGCCACGTCAGAACAAGCGAAACCCCCCATGCACGCCGCCGGTGGCGGGGTTCAACACATGTACCGAAACGAGTAAACTGTCCGAGTGCCGCAGGTATTCGTGCATATTTCGCACTCACATCACGCGCGCTTAGTCGCATCAGAAACAGCCAAGCTTGTCATTGCGCGAGGCCCGCGCGAGGTTGTGCGAGGTACGCTCGAGGTAGTGGTCAGATGCTACTCCGCATCTACAAGCTTTACACTGCTAGTAGCCCGCAAATTACATCACCCTTTGAAGCTCAAAAGCACATGCTTTTGGAAGGTATCCTTACGTACATTCCTTTGCGAGACAGCTTTTTCAGACAGGACATCACAGCGTATGTGCGCTAGGACTTGCCACCGCGACAAAGGCTGTAGTTGGGCTTTGCACGCCCCGCGAAAACTGGCTCGCGAGCATCATCTCGCAATCTCCACGTGCTTGCCGGTGCGAGACAAGTTCAAGCTAGTGGCCGGCTGAGCCTATGAAGGCGATATCCCCCTGCGCATGCCTGCGCGAGACGACTTTTGGGAAAAGACATCACGTAGCATATCTGCAAAGCTTTTTGGTGGAATCCGCAAAAGCATGTTCGATCGATGCGACTAAACACAGTGCGATGCGACTTGTAAGTAAAAGGAACCCTGGGAGGGCAGCTTGTGTCGGTATCCGACACTTGGAACAGAATTACACAGCCAAGCGTCTGCAGAGTCACCTGTGCTGCCGCACGCTTCAGCAGGTCACTGCTACTCAGTACCTTGCTCTTCCAGCCGAAAGTCGTCTACCTCGCAAGACCATGCGAATCTTCACGATGATAAGCAAACAAAATGGCTCTGTTTTTAAATGCAACATGCGTCAGCTGAGCGTCTTCGTCCGACTTTTAACTTGCTTCCTGCCATCGCTGCCGCGGCAGTGGCCTACCTGTTCCTTGGTCACAAAACCGCTTCCTTCGCCTGGGTAAGTTGGAGTGACCGGCTCCCTCCCTTACTTCTCTGGTCAGCTGCTGAGCCAGACCGCAGTAAGAGGGCTGCGCTTAGTTTTAGCTTTGTTTCACCGCTGTTTTGTCTCTCGTTTGGTTGTTTGCGTAGTTTTCTATGGGGACCGAGTGCCAACGCATTCGACGAGGCCCGCACACGCCGAAAAACATGTCAGTGAGAGGTATCTTATTTTATTCGCTTTTTAGGCTTCCCAATGCGAATCCTAGCGAATTCGTTGGCTCTCTTCTTCTTTCTGTCCAAAAGACAGTTTCAATCTCAGCTCACTACACTACATGTTCCTTGTTTAGTTCCACCGACAGCAATTATTTCACTTTTTTATGTTTTCTTCGATAAAAGCAATGAGGCCAGTGTTGGCATCGGTTGGTTGGCTGCGTGAGTAATCTGCCAAAGGAACTCAGTTTCCAGAAAATGGCTCAAGGAAATAAACTAAACCCTGGACAGAAGGTGTGCATCGTCGAAGCTGCTCAGGCGCCGGCGCTTCAGCAGCTGCATGTCGTCATCGCCCATGGTGCACTTTATAGAAGAGGCTAAGAAGCTACGGGCCCCCTTGAGGTGCTTAGCAATCGGCTCTGGCACAAATGCTTTAGAGACTCAGCCGGAACGCGCCAGCTCTAGACTTCACTGCTAGCAACCATGTGGCCTAAACCTGGATCCATTTTTGCAGAGTTCTTGGGACACCTCACTGGGCACCCGAAGACACATCACCCCACGAAAGGCGCATCATCTAAAGATGACATGTATACGTAGATTCCGTGGTCGAAACTGCATCCACAAAAAAACAGCGAGAGTCAGTGTGAGCTTCCCGTTTTCGCGGTCGTGTCCACCATGTCTCGGAAAACAAGATAGTTCCGACCAAGGTCATGAACCAGGGAATATACCCGCTTGGCTGAATCCATCAGGAAATTGGCGTCTACTGGAGCCACATCTTGGCGTCGAAAGGTCAGCTGGAAAGGCAGCACAGTCGCAAGGCCTCCCAGGAGAAGCCGGACTCCAAAGCAAAGTTTAAGCCTCACAACGGTGACCTCTTCCGAACACCAGCTCGATGTTCCTCCTGACCTCAGGTCAAGTTCGTTGTGGAAGAAGGGAAACACTGCTGCAACTTGCTCAAGCAATACCGACCACACCCGGGCATCTTTCACAAGCAAGACGCAACTTCGCGCATGTCCTCAACCACCTCCTCCTCGGTCATGATGTCTGCACCTGCCTTTAGCTCCTTGAACCCGTAGTACCATCGCCGAAGTCGATCACTCTCCACCTCGAGTACCGCGGGCAAGAAAGACTTGGACTTCGAGAAATGCTGAAATTGCCGTGGCCTTCTTGTGAAGTGCTGTCTCTGGATTCTGCATCCCGAAGCACCCAACACATCCCCACGACATGAGCATCTATTCAGGAGGGGATGCAGTGCACATGCCTTCATGAGCATGAACGCCCCAAACAGGACCAGAAACCGGGAGTGCACAAGCCAAATGCATCCTGGTGTCTCCATGGGTTTCAAGCAGCTGATCCTCCAACTCCAAACGCTTCACCATACGTCTTTAGGAATCGGTTACACGAAGCCTACGCGAGAACTGTCTGGCTTCCGCGTGTGCATTTCTCCTATGCAGGGCTATCGCCACAGCCAGCACCCCGCAACATGCCGGGAAACCATGGGCAGCTCACAGCTGTCCCTGAACCGACAAACCTCAACATACCACTAAATACAATAAACCCTTACCCAAAGGCCCCAAAGTAGACCCTTTTTGGGGTTCCTATATAGAATCCTATAAGGTACTCCCAAAAAGGAACTACTTTGGGGCCTCTGGGTAATCACTCCCGAGCTCGCAGCTCAGAGTCCTCGTAGCATCTGAACTCATCCGGCGCCTCATCGGATCCCAAGAGCTGAGCTGCGACATCCGTCCGAAGAAACAATGCATCCTGCGCAGTCGAAGACTTGGGGCCTGGGGCTTCATGCTTGGGAGTTTCCGAAAATAGGGGACCCCGATATGGTACCCTAAATAGTAGGATCCTTATTATAAGGACCCCAAATTAAGGTACCCCCCCATTTTCGGAAACTCCCATACTTCATGCTCGCACGAAGCTTCTTGAAATGAAAAACGCCACCTGAAACGACTCGTCGAGTATTGCCGCATCTGATGCTGCTCCTTCCTGCCTGTAGTTTCAGAACCGGAGTTACAAAAGACAGGCCCGAAGATGGTGCCAACACCATTCCAGCATCAAAGATGCAAGACTGCAAAA